GGAAAAAAATTAGATGGAAAAAGTTTAAAGGGATAGCTAACCTAATGAATGGAAAGAATCAGGATACAAAAAGATCTCTGTCCTCTACTTGAATAGGGGGCAGAATCTAATAAGATGAAAAATCATGAGATTGCTACGACTAGTTAGACAACAGTTTGTATGAAAAAAATCTAAGGGTTTGGATGGACTGTGAACTGAATGAGTCATTGGGGCAACACAGCAGCCAAAAAAGGCCAATGCCATCTTAGGCAGCAGTAAGCACAGTATACTGTCTGAGGCGAGGGAGGCAGGAGTTCTAGTATATTCTGACAAACTTTCTCAGATTCCAGCACATACTAAAGATTAGTGCAAGGCATCTTTGAAATTATCCCCTAACTCGGTGAATGTGTCGGTGGGTATATGTGACCCAGAATCACAGAACACCACAGTCAGAAAGGACCTTAGAGGTCATCCAATTCAAAGTCCTCAATTTATAACATGGAGAGATTGGCCCAAAGAGGGGAAGGGACTAGCTCATGGTTATATAATGCTTTAGTGGTTGGATTGGGATTCCAATCAAAATCTCCACACTCCCAAGGCCCAAGCCCTTCTCACTTTATCATGCTGTCTTGGGAAGACACTACACAGATGAATAGCTGAATGAATGTTGAATGAAGAAATGAACACTGACAATTACATGTCACATACATATACTCAAACATATTCATTTATTCAACAAAGAATTACTGAACACTTATGAATTCCCAGGGTGGTGTGTGGGTCACTGTGGGAGCTACAAAGATGAATAAGAAATCATCTCCTGGTGGGGCAGCTAGGTGGCAAAGTGGACAGAGCATGAGCCCTAGAGTCAGGAAGACTCGAGTTCAAATTTGACCTCAGTCACTTTCTAGTTGCATGACCCTGGGCAAATCACTTGATCCTGATTGTCTCTAAAAAAAAAAAAAAAAAGAAAAAGAAAAAAAGAAACCATCCTGGGCCTAAGGAGCTCACTGCTCATATCATTCTAAGATATAGGGCAAGGGCACAAATAAGTAGAACATAAGCTAAAGAATTAAGTGCCATAAGGGTGGTGTAAACAGTACTATAGAGATTTGGGGGGAGAGTTCAGTTTCAACTTGGGGAAAACGTGGAAGGGTTTCATGGAGGAGCAGCTATCTGAAGGAGACCTTGAAGGATGGATATGATTTGGATCAGCTGAGAGCAAGTGAATGAGGAAGGGGGGAACATTCGAGGTGGAGGTGATGAAATTAGACCACTGGCTCCCTGACAATAGTAACTATGGATTCCTCCCACCTCTATCCTCTACAGGACGTGACAAAGAATAAAACACACATTAGGGTTTTGATAAATTGCTGAATTGAATGACTCCAAACAGGTACTGCCCAACGTTGGGGTTGTCTCCGGCTCTAGTCCCTTGTTAGGGAGACACCAATCCTTATGGTGTTTTAAGCCAGAAGATGTCTAGACTAGGAGAGCAGAAATTGCTGCCAAAGGACCCTGGCCTCTGAGGTAGGGGCTATAGATCAAGGTCAAGGAACGTAACCTCCTGTAGCTCTGCCTATCCCCAAAACCCAGTGGCTTAGAAATGTTTCCAGACATCCTTGTCACTCCTTGGGGAGAACATCCAGGAACAGTCTAAGCATTTCACCTTTCCATAGCACTCCCACGTGCCAGGCCCTGGCTATCCCAGGTTTGGTTTCCAATGAACACAGGATGTTATTCACGGCAGACTCTTAAGGTTCCAACTGAGGTGGGCAGTAGGCTTGGCGTGCTTTTTCTCAGACCTTCAGCTCCAGTTTCACTGCAATTCTGAATCTCAAAGCACGATCAGTACTGGCCACTTTTCAGGCAGGACCTTGGAAATCAGCCTTCAGAGCTGAGACAAAGGTTGAGTGGAGTCAAGGACAGGCCCAGGTGTCTGTGACTGGTTCTCACTTCTCTGAGTATAAACATGGATGGCTTCCGCAAACTATTCAAAACAAGGGAAGATCTTATGGAATAGGGCAGAAAACATTAGATTAGGAGTTAGAATAATCTTGGTAGAAACTGTCTTTTGCCTCTTTTTGTATCCCCAGGGCTTAGCACACTGCCCGGCACATAGTAGGTACTTTTAAACCTTTACTGACTGACAAGACAATCTCCTTATTTTACAGATGGGGAAACACTGGCCCAGATAGGGAAATCAACTTGCCTCGGGTCACAGTCAGGAGCACAGTCAAGATCAGGCCTGACTCCCAGGCCAGAGTTTCTTCCACTATACCTCAATATAAAAGTATTATAAAAAGTCAAATGTGCTACTTGGAAAAGCAGCCTTAAATTATGCCTTAAGCTCTTACTAGCTATGTGATCCTGGACAAAAAACTTAGCCTCTCAGCCTCATTTTACAAAAATGAGGATAACACCTTTCTCCAATGACTCTTGCGATGATTGAATAAAATAATGCATTTTACATAGTTTTTTGCAACCATAACAAGCTATATAAATGTGAACCAATGATGATGATATATGTTAAAATCATCTATGTATGTGTTTTATCCCGTTCTAGACCATATGCTGACTCTATAAGGGCATTGGAATTCCTTTCTGAACTTTAAAGAGTTCCCCACTTAAATTAATCCCATAAATTAGGTGATTAATAAATATTTGTGGTTGAATTTATAAACTCTGGGGCATGTTTGCTGAAAGGGTCAGTGAGAATCCTTCAGGTTTCTTGCTTAGGGAGGATAATAATGGAGATAAGAAACCAAAGCTCAGACATGAGTCTCCAGAGCTAGGGATGCTGAGTATAAAAGAAGAGTAGGGAGAGTGTCTACCTCACCGTATAAAGCAGAACAGCTAGAAAGGAGTAATATTGAGAAAGGGAAAAGTGATGAGATGATTATGATAAATGGTAAGAAAGAAGATGGTTTACTTTGAAATCTATGCCCCTGAAGGAAAAGGGAATTTATTTACCCAGAGCTCAAAGGATCCTTAAAGATCATCTACCCCAATACCTCAATCTTACAAACAGGAATCTCGGGTTCAGAGAGGGACAGAGATTTTGTCCAAGGTCACAGAGCCCAGCAGCAGCAGCAGAGCCAGATGAAAACCGCAGGTCGGTATTTAGTAGTCTCTTTCCTACTCTACTTCTTTTGCTCTTTTCCTGTGCCTCTGCCCGTTTAAGCATAAACCTAACTTCATTAAAACAAAAAATCACTGGTACTTTTTCATGATAAAACAAAACAAAACCAAAAAACCAAAAAAAACTGTAAACAAATCAGGTGCCCATCCACCAGGGAATTGCTAAAGAAATGGAGGGACGTAATATAATGGAATCTTACTGTGCCATATGAAAAGATGAAAAGTAAATAGACGCATGAGAAGATTATTAAGAACTGATGGGAAGTGAAGTGAGTAGAACCAGGAGGCAACCAAAACAATGACTACAGTATAAATGGAAAGGACAAAAAAACCCCACCCAGACTGAATGCTCTATAAAGAGATGAAAAAACGCACCTCCCTTCCTTCTTTGTAGAAGTAGAGGAGAGAGGTTTACGGATGCAGAATATTGCCTGTATGGTGAGACTGAGGTGTTTATACACACACACACACACCTGATTTAGTTGATACATATACACATACACATATATATACACACACAT